GGAGTTGAATGAGGGGACTGGCAGCTCAGGCAGCGAGCAGGAGGGACAGGGCAGAGCTGGATGGAGATGGCAAGCCAGGGTCACCCCGGGTTCCCAGAACTGGAGGTCCCCCTCTGGGAGGTGTGGGCACCTTTAACCACATACATCCTTTGCTCTCACAAGGGGCTCCAGACTGCCCCCGGGGAGTCGAGGGAACTGAGGCAAGGCTGGTGTTTCCTTGCACATGTGCACACTGGACGCACACCGGGGGCACACACACAGTGCATGCTAGCCACAAGCAGGTTTCTCCCCATGTGGCTGCCGCAGAGTCTGTGACACACACACCTCGCACTCTCACACTACCTGGGCAGGTGTCGCAGCCTAGGAATTCTGTCAGAGCCCCATGAAGTCAGCATCAAAGGGAACCAGGAAACCGAGAGAGAGGCCCCTTCTGCCTCGCTCTCCCACAGCACTCTGGGAAAGAGTTACAAACCAGCGACTTCATTTCCAGTGGTGTAGCAAGCAGCTCCCCTGGGCTGCCTCATACCCCACGGTACCCCATCCCAGACCTCTTCTCGCTTGACTCAGCCTGAGAGGTGGATGTGACTCCCTAGTTCTGGCAGTCACTAAAGCCCTGAATTGACCCTTCCTGCCAAACTGGCACGGACAGGGCAGGTCAGGGGGCAGTCAAACTCAGAGACAGGCCTGGCCCCTCCCTGACCTGACCTGGCAGCCTGTAATTCCTGTGAGGGCTGGGTGGTTCTCTGGACTCACGGTCCTGGTGCCCCCAATTCCCCTGCAGGCCTCCAGCTCTCAGGAGGAAGCAGGGACTAGAGTTTCCTAATGGGCATGACCCTACTAAGCGTGAATGCGGCCTGGCACTTTGTCACTTACAGATAACACTGCCAGGTAGATGGCATTGATCCTAAGGACAAGAAATGGGATTCAGAGTGGGGACCTGCCCGAGGCTACCTAGCTGGAGCTTGGGCCAAGGTCTTCCCACGCAGGGGCCCCCCCACACTACTGGGCTCCATGCCTGGCCTTGAGGGAGGCTGAGCATTTGCTGTCTTCCGTGCAGACCACCCACCCTCTCCTCAGCCTAGCCCACTGGCCCTGAGCCCCTAGTGTGAGGGAGAGGCCAGAGCCCCGCGTCCTGCCCGGGAGTGTGGGGACTACCGAGGGCAGACATCTTTCAGAGCCTTGGCGTGCGTCTGGTATTTTTTCGTTTTGATTTGAGTGACTTTGTCGTTGTCACTGTGGCTGCGGCTGCTCTTGTGACGTGGTGCCTGTCGATCATGTTGCTGTTGTGTCCGTTCTTTTTGCAACTTGTTTCGTTCTCTCCTCCGTTGCAGATTGAAGTAGTCAATACTTTCAAGAGCGGGGCCTCCTTTCAGGGTGCCCTGCGGAGACAGTCCTCGGTCACCAGCCAGAGCCAGGATGTAGCCAATCTCTCTAGCCCTAGTCGCGTGTCGTTGTCCAATGCTCTTTCCTCTCCGACCAGCCTTCCTCCTGCTGCAGCTGGGCGTGAGTGTGACTCCTTACCGCTCTGCTGGCGCCACCAATGCCAGTGCCTGGGCAGGCTGGCGGGCAGGGGCCGGGTATCAGAGGACAAGGGGGGCAGCTGGTCACTGTCAGGACCAGGGGCTGAAGGGCCAAAGCCCCTGGGGAGGGTCCTAGGTGGGCAGGAAGTCAGGGCCAGTCACAGGGTGGCAGTCCCTCCACAGGCCAGGTTTAGTTGGGTCCGCACTGCAGTCAGGCAGTTGAGTGTCATTAGAGCTACAGGTGGCCAAAGGTTCTGAGTCAAAGCATCACCATTGGTCAGGAGGGCCCGGGTTTCAGTGATAAATGGTCCCGATCCACTACTGGGTCCCAGAGCCCAATGGGGCAGAGTCACCGAGGGACGAACAGAGTCCCATGTTCGTACTCTGTCGGGAAAAGCCTCGATCCAAGGTCAGGGGCCAGAGTTGGCCAGGAGGGCACAGTTACACCCAAAGTCATGTGCAGAGTTACCACAGTCAAGGGGCAAAAGTCCTCAGGGGTCACAGGCACAGCAGGGCCCAACCAAGAGAGGGGTCATTTCATCCAGAGTTTCTCAGCTGGTCAGGAAGCACCATTAGTGAGGGGTCATGGCCAAGGGGGAGAGATGAACCAAGAGGTCCCTGCAGGTCAGAGGTCACAATCAATCAGGAGTCCCAGGCCATCAAGGAGACCACAGCCCAGAGGTACTGCCCCAGCAGTTCAGTCTCTGCCTCTCCATGTCACCTCTCTCCTTGGCACATCGGCTGCCTTATAAACACCATTTCTCCAGCAGAGGGCAGAGCGCAGTGGCATTCTGACCCTTTTCTGGAAGAGAGAGGGCTCCTGACCCAGTCAACTGACCTCAGGTGGAAACTGGTGGGTCAAGCCCTACACCTGGAAGGGATCTTGGTCTACCTTCCACATCCTGCCTTCCTTTGACTTAGGAACAGCCTGAACACCTCCCCTTCATCTCCCTCATGCCAAGCTCATTTCCTCACACCATCACTTCTGACCCAGGTGTCTCTGGCTTTGTCTAGACCTTTCACGGACCTCTGCATGGTTTCAGGTCCTAGAGGAAATCGGTCTTTGTTTACCACCTGCTTCCTTTGTTTCATCTCTGTCAAAGGGGCCCCTAGTTCTGATCTTCTCAGGTAGATACAAGTGCATGTCTGTAAAGCAGCACTTGGGAGAGTGACACAGGAGGTTCGGTGTGAGTTTGAGGCCAGCCTGGGCTACATAGAGAGTTCAAAGCCAGCCTGAACTACATAGTGAGACTCTGTCTCAAAACAACAGCAAAGTAAATGTGTGTTTGTTATCCCTGCCAGTCTTCAGCACCTTGATGAAAAATAGCCTCCAGGCCTTGATACTTTAAAAAATGTCTCCACCTCCATCCAAGAACAGCTGCTACACACATCTCCTGCCACTGACCATGGCCTGTGTGCAGGACAGGGCTCCCTCCGCCCCTGTGGCCTCTGACAGGAAGCACAGGCTCAGAGCCTGCTGACGGCCTATGCTTGTGGCTGTCACCTTTCTGTGGTTGTTGTCCTGAGCAGTATGCAGAAAGGACACATAAAAGTCTTCATTTATTAGCACAGAATCAGTGATGGGGTAGCTAGCTGAGCCAAGATGACAGGGAGATCTGTTTGAGCAAATGGTGTCTGAGTCACTTTTCCATGAGGCACTAGGAGCTTCTGTGAAGCACTGTGTCCCTACTCCTAGACTGTGCCTTAATAGGTGGCTCTACCCTCTCTGATGTTTTCCTCTATCCTGTCCCTGCATCAGCTTGCCTCTGGCATGGGTGTCCCATGCCACCACCTGTCCTAAAGTGCCATCACTAGATGTTCTGGCCTGGAGAACCCTGTTGGTGATTCCTAAGTCCTCCTAGCTATACCAGGAGACTGGCTTCTGGGTGTGAGTTCAGTTCTTTTTTCCATTCTGATTTGGCCTCATTCTTGAAGCATAGCACTTGGCCCTGGCCGTGAAAGACCTCATATTATCTTCAGGGCATCCGTGTAGCCCCAGGAGAGCTTCCTGCAGCTTACCCTCATCTTAGCTCTCATAGGCTGGAAGAACTGGCCTTTCCCACCTCGTAACTTCATCTTCGCCTTTTCTCCTGTCACTTGTAAGCCATTCGAAGAGGCCAGTCCTGGGGTGACACTTCACCTTCAGAGAAATGCCCATTTATGCCCATTCTGCGCTTCCTGGCTCTGAGCCGATCTCTTCCCAAGCCAGGCCCCTTTAGCCCATGTGACCCATATCCCAGCTTCGGGATAAGGAGCCCAAGCAGAGGCTGGACCATAACTGACCTTGCCTGTGACCTCTTATCTCCTGAATGACCCGACAGGATTGTTCATTCACGGCTCCCTCACAGAACCCCCGTGCAGCTCTCCTAGATATTGCCCATTCCTACCCTCTGCTTTAGAATTCAGAATTATGGATCCTTTCCAGATCCTTTCTTGGCCATGAGTTCTCAAAAAGAGCCTGACCATCCTGCCCAAGGACACTGGCTTCCAGAGGGGATCTCAATGATGTTGTCACCGCAGTCACAATGGCAACACTCAGTAAATATCCCTTAATCCTCTGTTCCATCTCTATCACATCTCCCCTGCTCTCCCAGAACTGAGGACTCTCTAGGCACTGGGCAAGTTCCCTTAAGAAGCCAGTGCTTTCTTAACACAGGGAGGAGTGAAGCAGTTGGCCGGGAAGCAAGGGGCAGGGTCCACCCGGGTAAGATAAGAGGTGAGCTGCCTCCCTCTGGGCAACACCTTCCTCCTGGGGATTCTCCAGCACAGGAAGCCAGCCATGTGTTAGCTGAGGCAGAAATACCTGCTGTCTGGGTTCCTCAGCACAAGGCAAAACATTGTACCCTGGGTTTCCAAGAGTTGCCCATACAGGCCTGTCACAGGCAGTGTGTGGAGACTAACTGCTAGGTTGCAACACTGGGGTGAGCACAGTCCCCGTGCACACTGGCACCCCACACAGTGCCACCGGGAAAAGTAGGCCCCTTGAAGACAAGTGCCCATCAGGAGCATGGCATCCAGCCAGGTTGGCACTGGCACACTCGGGAGGGAATCTGCTGCATGCTCTTGCTGTTCCCTGCCTCCTTACTCACAAAGGAATCTGTTCTCTCCCACAAATTCAGTGGCCACCCCAAAAATTCCTTACTAGATCCCTACTCAACAGTTCCGAAGGAGGAAGGAAGGATCTACCGGTGTGTCCACTAACACAGGAAGACACTGACTTGGCCAAGATCACACAGCAAAGGAGCTGTCAGAGATCTGTCTTCAAAATCTCTCACTTTCCTCCCACTTCATCCTGTCACCCAGACAGGTCCACAGCCCAAGAGCCATGGAGTTGAATTTCCACTCGGGAGCCAGTGCCCATGGCTACAGCTTCATTGGAGCCATGATCCAGGACTCAGGAGGCTAGGAAGGTGTTTCCCTGTTGGTATCCCCCAACCGGTCCGGCATTTACCATTGGTGATCAGCTTTCTCTCTTCCAAGGCCAAGATCCTCTACCTTTCTTATCTCCCACAAGTTTCCAGCTTGTCTAAAGCCATCTCTGTCCTTCGCAAATCAACAGCAGGCTCCACGTTCATCACTGAAAGCCCTGTTCCTTCATACCCACTAAGCCAAAGTGCAGGCCCCTGAGCCAGGCCCAGGCCACATTTGGACACCACATCTCTATTACAGATAGGATACCTCTGCTTTAACTTCCCTCCAGACTCCTGGTTCTTAGAACTGCTGGGGCATGGAGTTTACATTGTTGGGAGGAGAAATGAAGACAGTGAAAAGGAAAGAAAGTTGGATCTCTCATTAGGGTTTTGGTGACTAACTTAGCATGACCTTGGGTTGGTGAGAAAATGGCTTGCTTCTGTGGTGGGGCGGAGGGAGCCCAGACCTCTCCACTATCTGAATATTCCCTGTGTTTGTTTCCCTAGAGGGCTAGAGAACCCTGGACACAGAGTTCAGCAAGAGAGAGTGAAATTAAAAGAGGTTGTGAGTCTTTAACATTGAGCCTGAAGCGAATGTGAATCAATCCCAGACTCTTGGCTTCCTTGAAGCCGGGTAAACATTCGAGTATGTGGAGCCCATCTCAGAGCAGGGCTGTGCACCCCTCAGAGCCTCAGCTGTGGGCCAGGGCCCCTGCCCTGTGTGCCAGTGCAGCTGAACACCCGAAAGCTCTCCTGGGTCCCCTCTCTCTCCCCTGCCCTGGTACCCAACATGGCCCCTACCCTAAATCCCATCTTTGAGGCAGGCGAGGAGAGGAAATGGAAGAGCATTTTTTTCTTCCCGTATTTTTCCATTTCAGCAGCAGAGAGAACCGAAGTGGAGACTTGAGATGGCCGTGGCGGGACGTCCCGAACAGTTTCGTCCCCACAGTCTTGTCCAGAGCAGTTCATTCTTTCTGTTGTCTCCATCCCAGGGGGAGGGCAGAGGGGCCTCATCTCATTGTGTGTTGTCCCTCAACATTGTGAGTCCCATGACAGGGGCCTGCCACTGTCCCCTTCCCCATGCATATGTGAAGTGTCCCAGCCAGCATCTTCCTGCAGGCAGCCTTGGACACACTGAGCACTGGGCTAACAGCAACAGTGATGTGTACTGCTCCCATTTTCAGATAGGAAACAGGCCTGTGATACCTCTTTTGCTTTGGTCTCACTGAAGGGTATCGTGGCCCACTTACCTGGACATCAGAGTATTAATAAACTCTGTGGAGCCACAAATAGGACTCTGGAGGCCAGAACGTCAGGGCAGCCCACACAGCCTTCACTGGGCACTAGTACCAAGGCAGTGGCTGGCTAGCAGCACCTCCTTGGCACCTGATGCCTCTTATTTAATTCATGATTCCAGCAAGTGGGATTCTCTGATTCCCAGCCCACAGCTGGAGTAAGCAGGAGAAGGAAAAGAGATGCTTTTTGGAAGACAAGCAAATGGCAGCACTAATAAGAGATGGCTGCCAGTAAAGGAGGAAAAGTTGAGGAGAAAAAGGCCAAACTGCCCAGTCTTGCCTGAGATCAAGAAGGAAGACTGTGGAACGTTGTTAAACTTTCTCTGTATACTCTTAGAGGGCAGAGGAGCATTCGGTGAGCTAGAAACAACCCCCCATCCTGACAGGAAAATAGACCTCAGCTATGACACCGAGAACTCTCTCCACAGTCACTGAGGATGTTCACACCCAGGGAAGAGGGCCTCCTGCCAGTGCCAGAGAGCTGCCCTGGGTTTAGCTAGAGCTCTAGACCGGGATTCAAGGCCTCCCCTTAAGTGTCTCCTGCAGGCCTCTGCCTCACAGCAGGCCAGGCAGCATCCTGAGGCTGCACACCCCACCAGCTGAGGCTCCACCGCTACTAAGGGTGTCTGGGTACCTGTTTTCCCACCTATTGCTACACTCTCAATGGGGCCCGGAAAGAGAGCAGGAGGTATCTCCATCAGCCCCTTAAGATGACAGGCCAGGACCTCCCCAGGGTCCAGAGAAGGGACACCTCTCTTTCAAGTGAAGGTTCTGTTGCTCCACACCCTGTGAGGCAGGACAGAGCACAACAGAGAGGTGGTGTGGCTTGCCCATAGCCAAGGCACAGGAAATGTCAGGGCCAAGACTGAACTGGATCTTCTTGCTTCCATGCCCAGTACTAACCATGTCCACTAGCCCTCCATTCTGTGGAGGAAAAGACTGAGGTCTGGACACGAGGTTCACAGCTCAAGAGGGGACACCTCAATATCTTGTAGCTCAGTTCCACCCTCACCCCATCCCCCTCCAAGAACCACTCACCCCAGGGGCCTGGCTTTGGCCATCTGATTCTGGCCTAATTTTTCTGGTTTTGTGTTTTCAAAGCAAAATGAAGAAATAAACAAAGTATCCCCCAGAAAACAAGAGACCCCCAAGCAAGCTGCAATGACTGGCCAGGGCTTGGAGTCTATACTCGAGTGTTTACCTCCCACATGCATGAAGGAAAGAAACGCTGGGTACAAACAACTTCTTTCACATCGTCCAGGCTTCCGAGTGTGGCGTGTCCATCCATGAGTGCTGTGTAGCTCCTGGCTCGGACGTGGCATGCTCCCTGTCCCGGACTCACCAGTCCGCCAGCTCCTCCGTGCTTGCTGGCTGCCTCCGCTCTGCACCTCAGAAAGCCCTGAGTTGGCTTTGATTGCTTCGCTGCCTTGGTTTGGTGTCCTGTTCTCTGTTTGGCCTCTGTGTGTTTTCTCTCACTCTATCTCATCCCATCTCTCCTTCCTGTTCCTTTCCGTGTGACACATAATCTGTTCCATGTAGTTTGGTTTCTTAACTGTGTGTGTGGTTTTAGCATTAATTTTTTTTAAAAAAATAGCCTCTCCTCTCTCTGCTCCTACTCTCTCCCTGGCCCCACCCCTTCCTGTCTGGACCTCTGCTGTGAGATTACCAAGGCTCGGTCTCTCATTAGGTGGAGGTGGACGTTGGAGTGGACTCTGCTTCTCCTCACTGCAGGGCCCCAGCATCTCCGATGGTGCTCGATGACCCCTCCTGTCCACATACTGTAGTTCTGACCAAACCAAAGCCACTTGATAAAACCAACTCAGGGACGCACATAACCTGAGCCCTTGCCATTCTTCCCTCTGTCGATGCCGTGGATGCCGGCAGCCCCCTCCTCTCCCGCCTTGCCCTCCAGCTCCCCAGCTCAGCCTGGCCCAGCACAGTGCTCCTGACCCTGTGCTTCCCTTACAGATCCGCGTCGTGAAAGCCTTCCGTAGCTCTCTCTATGAAGGGTTAGAAAAGCCCGAGTCTCGAACCTCCATCCATAATTTCATGGCTCATCCTGAATTCCGGATCGAAGATTCGCAGCCCCACATCCCCCTCATCGATGACACGGACCTGGAAGAAGATGCCGCCCTCAAGCAGAACTCAAGCCCGCCGTCATCGCTCAACAAGAACAACAGCGCCATCGACAGCGGGATCAACCTGACGACCGACACGAGCAAATCAGCTACCTCTTCGAGTCCAGGGAGCCCCATCCACAGCCTGGAGACGTCGCTTTAGCTGAGGACCTGCCCGCTGGCGGCCCTCACGGACCCACTCCCACCTGCCTCCTGGGCACCCTCCAGTCCCCCTCTCACCCACGCAGCAGGAGCAACAAGGAAACCAAACAATGGAGAGAAAACCGGGCGTTTCCACCCACAGACCCCTTCCCTGGCTGCGATGCTGTTTGAACTCTTTTTCACTTGGAGGCAGGGGGCGGACTTCGCCTGGGAGCATCGGGAGCAAGTGAGAGGTTTCCAAAAGCAAGCCCTTCCTGGCTCCTGCCCAGTCGAGGACCAGCCCTGTCCTGCCCGGCCACCACGTTCCCCGCATGAATGTACTGGGCACTTTCCATCCTCCCCTTGTTTGTGTTTGCGGGGCTGGGGAGGGTTTTTTTGTTTTTGTTTTTTCCGTTTTCTTAGGCGGGAACTTCAAACAGACTCTTTTCTGAGACTATTTATCCAATCCACTGGTCTGTGAGTTTTTGAAATGCTTGCACAGCATGGTCTCAGTTGTATAGATTAATTTAATAACTTTTTGAAATTGCAGAGCTTAATTCGCCTAATAGATTTGCACCAATGGAACCGAAGAACTCATAGACACTCGCAAGGTTATATCCATTTCTGTGTATCTATATCCACGTATACTTCTCCAGGACTGTATACGTCCATATAGATAGGTAGATATATATATATGTATATATATATATATACATATATATATATGTGTGTGTGTGTATATATATATATATATATACATACATGGATATATAAAGTTTCTTTGCCGGCATGTTGCCTTGTTTCTGCTTAAACTGCTCTATTTTAACTTATTTATGTCCTAAAGAGAAGAATGTAATTTGTTTACAAACCTGTAGATAATGTCTTTGGCTATTTGTATGGTTTAAGAACACTGGTGGCTGAGGTGCTGTGAAAACAGCTCGGCCCCACAGACACTTCTCCGGGTTGCATCCTTGATGTTTTACAATAGCCATGCTCTTATTTTGCCTGCGATTTCCGTTTCCATAATGTTATTACTATGGAAGGCCCAGGCAGAAGCCAGATGGTACTGAGGATCCATCCCAAGGGGTTCACCAACATGCTCCGTAGACGAAGGGAGAAGAGGAGAGAAGCGTCCTGGGTTTGTAACTCCCATAGCCATCCCAACCCGAGGACGCCAGAATCTGCACAGCGCTGCTCCAAGGCTTTTCTCTCAATGAAACTCGCTTGAGTTTACCAAGAGCATTCCCAAAATAGGTAGTCTTTGGCACTGTCTGTAGAGAGGGCGAGGTAGTGATAAAATATCATAAATGGTATTGTGTTGATTTTTTTATTTGTAATTTAGAGGTTTATTTCTTTATAAAGGACAGCACATGAGTTGTTGGCATATTGGATGAGGATTAGTATGGCTTGCTTCTTTTATTTTTATTTTCAAAGAATAGCCTTTTTCTCTGCACTATTTAGATCTAAATGAACCTTATGATGTGTATATTGAGATGTATTCAGTGTGATTTTTAAACCAAATTGTCTTCCTGTAGTCACAATCTATACTGTAGCCTTCTAACAGCAAGTCTTGCTTCCCCAGACAGAAAGCCATTCTGAAACCCTCCTGCGTCACAGGTGAGAAAGGTGGCTATTCCCCCAAGACAATAACAGCACTAGCAATCCCACTTAATAAGAGCTTATTTAATTGTCTGTCAGCCTCTTAACCGCTAAGCACTTTGTGGGTCTCGGCTTTTTTCATAAAAGAACTTTTGTATTTAATACAAAGTTTGCTTTGAGACTTTTCAGCATATGATCTTTTTCCATAAACTTGTACAGTGCAAAAGACATTTTGAATACCATGATCAATGATGTCCCATGCTTCAAAGAAAACCAAACATTTTTGCCTGGCTTGCAAAATCCATTCCTCACCCTTCCAGTGATTAGTGTCAGCCCCACCTCTGCCCTCCTCCAGGCCCAGAGAACTCTTCCACTAACACGATGAGAGCCACTTGGGAACAGAGCCATAGTCAGCTGGGAGGGCCTACGTCTAACAGCTATGGGAAAACCTGAGGGGTTCAGAGTTTGAAGTCAGCCCATCCCACCTGGCAAAACCTCTCTGTAATGAGGACCTTCTGCGTGAAAGAGCACCACCTGAATGTCATGAAGAAATCTCTCTGAATGTATCCAGCAGAGGACACTGCATCCCCAACCATGGGGGACCAGGCCTCGGATGTGCTTATTGGATTCTGGTACAAACACCACCAAAGCCTGCCCACCACACTCTCAGGAGGAAGGATGGACGTGCAGCTGAAAAACCTTGCAACATGGTGGTTTTTTGGAGTTTCCTTTCTTGTTTTTCCACCTTCCCTTTCTGTTTGCCCATGTATCCATGAGCACTCATTCCATGACGTCAAGATCGTTGGGCTAGCACACCAGGCTCCCTGTGCTTTGGGGGCAGAGCCCAAGGCCAATGGGAGGGTTCTACAAGTGGACCTTGCTTGGGGGGCAAGGAGCTGTGGAAGCTACCAAGAATGCCCAGCGTGCGCGTCAGTCGTTTCTTCAGGAATGATGATCACCCATGTGCCCCTCACTCTCCCAGGTTCTCACACAGCCACACACGCACGCACACAGGAAATGGATGGTTTGTCATAACACTGTAGTACACAAAGCTTGCACTCTGCGTCCTATATCTAGCAGCATGGGGTACGTTTGGCAATTTACCCCATTAGGGGGTCAATAATTTATGATCATTCATCTGTTTTTATGAATTTTTTTATCTAGACAATGATTGTAAATAAAGAACTCACCATCTCTGTTCATTTAATACTATGCAATGGTTATGCTTTCGATTGCTGACTCTTTGGCTCCTGCAGTGTGGTTCTGAAATGTCTGTGGTTTTACAGAAAAAAAAAAAAAAGACAAAAATCATCACAGGACAGAACACAGTGACTGTGTCCTCTGTGCGTATCCTCATTAGTGGGGACCACAGTGCCCTCAGAGCTGCTTTCCTGCCTCTGCACCAGGGCTTCAGGGACAGGTGGCCACCTCAGCTCTGAGGTCTAAACTCACTGACTTGTATTCTACCCCCCCACAGATGAGGGACAAACAGGGAACCCACTCAGTGACTCCGGGCGCTACAGGTGCACCTGCCTCTGAAGGAGGGCAGGCGGACCTCTCTGCACTTCAGACAGCTTTCCCTATCTCCGGAGCAGCCTCTGTGGCTGCCCTAAGCCCTTGTCCGAGCCATGGCACAGACCTGACAAGAGGGAGGGCGCTCTGCACTGAGATGGACCAATCAACATGGCTGCTTCAGAGCCTGGACTCTAAATCTGTCTTCTCCTGGTCATCCCTTAACAAAGCACCATTCTTTCCCCCAATCCTGTTAAAATGCCGCCTTTACCACCTGCTGACGTTGTACACAGACTTGAGCGCTGGAGCTTTTCTTTCGTTCCTTCATCTGGGTGTCTTCTCTGGCACCAACCACATAGTTTTAATTATTGTCACTTTAGAATGTTTAATTATGTGGTGCAATGAGTCTCTTCACTCTTCTTTTACAAGATTCCTAGTTATTCTCTCACATCCATTCTTCCAAGGAAATGTTAAAATTTTGCCAGGTCCTCTGTCCCCTGCCCTCCAACATTGTTCCCATATAGGCATCTCCTCCCCACATTGTAATTATTGTCCATTCAGGGCCACTAAGTACAGTGTGTCCTGCCAGGAAGAGCAAAAGGACTTCCTGAATCAAGGGAAGCCTGATGCTCCTCCCATCACTTCACCTGCCCCCTCCTCAGCCCAGATGTCAGGAAAGGCCTCTGAGCCCCCACCCACTTTGGGCTGGGAACTGAAATTACTATCTGGGCCACGCTGGGGATGGGCCTGCCCTCCATCTGGCCCTGGGGCAGATAAGAAAAGGTGACTCTCCTAGACCCAGAGGTATGGTCCTAGATAAGAGAGAACATGTGTCTGTCTGCTATACAGATGTGTACTGCTGTCTCCCTTTCCTGAACTTGTTTTGGTCATTTTGTTATTGTTGGGATGGGGGGCAGGACTTGTTCTTGAATTTGGAGATTTAGCAACTTCAGAAATTTCTTGCCAGGATGTTCTCAGTACTACCACTTCCCTCTCTCCCTGCTCTGCCTGCAGGAGGCTGCCTGTGTGGTGTCACTCTGACAAGTCTCCCACCCATATCTCTCCCACTGTCACATCTGAGAGCCCACCCTTAAAGGATCTGGCCAGGAGCGCTGCTTGAAGGCCGCAGTCAGAAGACAAATTCTTTTTTGTCTTTTCCAAATTCGAAATCAAGCCCTCCTGATTTTAATGTAGAGATCCAACCCACCAAGGAGAGGAGGATTCTAGGCCCTGGGCAGCTCCTCTTACCCTCTCTCCTAACAAGAGGTCAGAGGCTGCTCTGGGCCACCTCCTCAGCCTCACCATCTGTTTTGTAATGTTTGTGGTGCTCTCTGTCCCAGGCTTTTCCTCTCGAGGGTTGCCATCCTTGCTAACTCTTGTGCGCACGTCTTTTATAACAGACTATTGAAGGAATGGTGCCGCCTCCAGCTTCCACAAGCTGCCCAGGCTCTGGGGATCTGGGGGCTCTGGGACGATCTGGGCTGGGAAGTGACTATGCTCTTATTGTACACTCTTTTATTTCTCTGTATCTCCGGCTTGTGCTCTTTGTAATTAAAGGGAATTGTCTGCCTTTTCAACACTATACTAAGCAATAACAATAAATGCACATGTGGAAATGCAGACACGGTACCCATCACAAAGCCTTTTTCTGTAGGACAGCTGGGCCCCTACCTCCCATGAATGTGAACTCAGGGAGTCCCTGGTTGGGAAAGTCATCTTGCTCCCCTTCCACCGGGTCACCTTTTGAGTGCCCACCATCAGTGCTTACCATGCCACGAGTCATTAGCTCATTGGGATTAGCTACGCATCCCAGAAAGGAAGATCTAGGCATCAGGACCTCAGGGAGGAAGGAAGGACATTCAGAGGCAAAGAGCCTGGGAGACAGAGGGCACAACAGAGGAAAGCTAAGAATGGCCTGATCTGAGGTCTAGGGTTAGCCAGGTGGGAAATACAGACACAGGATATCAATGACATCCCAGGAGCAAAAGAGGAGCTTGGCACTCTAGGAGTCAATCTGCAAAGAAAAAGAATATGCCCAGGCTGAGAAACGATGCTAGTGTTGGTTCAGATATTAGAGTTAGGCACACACAATCCCAGCTTTTTTCAAGTTGAACTAATTTCCAGATCAAACACATTGACCCATCCAACTTCCAAACAGTTTCAAATTCAAGGTTCATTTAATCCCAAATCAGCTCTCAGAGGATCCAAAAAGTCTGAAAATTCTGAGTGCTGATAGGATGCCACAAATGGAAAATTCCACCCTGCAAAATTTTGTTTCATGCACAAAATTATTTAAAATATTGTACAAAATGACCTCCAGGCTATATGTATAAGAAATAAAACAAATGAATTTTGTGTTCAAAAGTGGGTCCCATCCCCCAAGATATCTCAGGAATATGCAAATATCCCAAAATTTAAAAAAACCCGAAATCTGCAACAATTCTGGTCGCAAGCATTTCAGGTAAGGGATCCACAATCTGTGCTCTGCCTCCCACCTACCAGAGGAGGTAGCAGCTAAGAGAGGTGAGCGTGTGTTCACACAAGTAGGCACACGCAGTATTGGCACCAGGGTTAGTGCTCAACCACTCTGTCACTGTGCCTTTCACTCCCGCCCACAAGTATCTGAATGAGTAAGATTCAGTTCACTGCTAGCCCCAAATCCTCAGTTTCTTAAACATTTACACCAGGAAATTTCTTTGACAACTATGCTTTACACATGATGTTTATATCTAATATGCCCTTGTCCCCATTTTCCCCTGGAGGAAAGCGAAGCTCAGGGAGAAGTGACTTGGCCTTACCAGCCAGAGGCTCAAGGGTGAAGTTACAGATCCAAGGCCAGGGATTATCCCTTGAAGAACAGGAAACTAAGAGCAATGCCCCCCCACCCGCCAAGCACCGCCCCCTCACACCTGCAATATTTCTCTCTTGGTGGTGGTGGTGGGGCATCTCAGAAGCTAGGGTGGGTTGGAAGGCTAAATTGCTGCTCAAGGCCTTGCCCTTAGTTCTGCTAACACCCCATTCCCATGGCTCCCTCTCCAAAGCCCCTTCACAGGATGGCCCTGTTATACTCTCTGAGCAGTAACATTTTCACAGTGGTCACCTTCACCTCGGGTTCTTACCCCACTGAAGACAGAGGGAACTGAAGGATTGTGACTTAACCCCAAGGTTCTGTTGGCAGTCCAGTGTTCTCACTGCACTTGTCGGGAGCCCTCAGCAGCCTTTTTCTTAAGAAGCAGGGACCTGGGCGCTAGGAACACTGAGGCCTGGAATTTAAGACCTTCTGGCCTTGGGGGAATCCGGATAGGTCAGACTCACAGCATCCTAGGGGACCGGTTTGGAGGCGGCAATTTGCAGTCTCTGAAGTCGTTGGTCTGTGATAGGGAGGGCAGGGTGACTGAGGACAGACTAAGCAGAAGGAAACACACTAAGAACAGAACACTCGCTCCCCGCAAAACACACACCATCAAGGCTACAAGGTTCATCACACACGCCCAGACCCTCAGGGAAGCGCACGACGCTGTCACCGAGGAAGAGGGAAGGATTGGTTTGGACAGAAGACCCACCAGAGCTTCAGATTCCAAAGCCACTGGTCAGGGTCTCCTCCTCAACCACGGCACTGCTCCCTGGGTCTGGGGCTCCAGATGAGGGCGGAGCCACACGAGGGCTCACAGCGGCCGGAGAAAGACACGGAACCTTGGTGTGAGAGGAGCGTACTGCAGCCCGGAGTCGGCTCGCCGCCCACACCGGAAGTGAGCCCTTTGGAGGCGCCGCCGGGAGCTGCCACGTCTTGAGGTCTGCGTGCGGTCGCAGTCATGGTGAGTGTTGGAGCCTGGACGCAAAGCGGGGTTCCGGCCCTTCGGGCTGGGGTCAAGTCTGGGGTGCTCTGGGAGAGGTTGGCCCTGGGTGCGGGGGGGTCAGGCCGCGCCGCTGCCCGGCCCGGGCCTCACCTCCGCGAGTGAAGTAGAGCCGCGACCGCCTTGAGACCCGAGCCTGCGCTGAGTTCGGAGCTCAGTGGCGGAGTTGAGACTCGAGCGCTCTTCGTTCTTTTCCACCTCCTGTCTCCCAGCAGAGGCGAGGGGTTCCCGGGTGTGACGGCAGGAAGGGCGGAGTGATTCTGACGACAGGGTCCCAGTTTTTCCCATTTCCGTGGTATGCACGGCATGTATTCGCTCCACAGATCCAGTGAGTGACTGAGTGATACTTAATGGATGAAGCCTTCGTGACCCGGCTTGACACAGCCCAGTAAATGTATGCTCCTGAGAACGGGATGCCCCACCGCCAGTTTGAAAGAAACTAGTGAACCTTTAAGTCAGAACCCTGGCGTAGTTCTTATTCTCCAGGCAGCTAGGTGATAAAGTGGCCCCTAGTTCTGCTTAATAGAGTTGAGAACTCTGTGATCCATATTCAGCTAGTTCTAAATTAATTTGTAACTCATGTGATCCTGAAGAAGTATTTTGAGTGCTATTGCTTGCTATTTAACGGTGACCTGATAAACTCAAAAGGCTTCGGAGGAGCTACTGCTCCTGCTCCTTCTGAAGCCTCCAGCCACCCCAGCTGCTGCAGAAGAGGGAGGACACAGCAGCAGCAGAGGATAACCTACTGGTGCTCTGCCTGCTTGCTCCCTGTGCAGCTCCCTGAGCAGGGTGGCTGTCCAGGAAAACACCAACCTCATCCCTAATGTTTTGTGTCCTGTAATGTTTCTGAGGAGAAGGAGCAAAAGCTATCCAGACACAAGGATGAGAGTGACTGCATTCTTGAGACTACTGGATGGGCTAGCTGCTCCCTCAACTTTGTCTGTACATTCAGATGACCTCCCAAGAATCTAGATTACAGGAGGAATTTGTTTTGTCTGGTGATGAAGCCACTAAAAGTTAATACTTTAGGGTCTTCTGAAAAGCAGAATGTGTTAGATGATAAAGAGTTTTTTAATCTTGAAAGAGTTGAAATAGAAAAGTCCCTAAAACAGATGGAAGATGACCTGAAAGGATTACAGACAAAGCTGTGAGAGGTTGAATCAGAATTTTCTTGCCAGAAGAAAGTTCAGCAACTGTTCCGCATCTGTTCTCTTCAATACTTAAATGAGAAAAACTAGAGTTATCTCTCTAACTATATTTTATAGTAAAGAGGTGATTGTTCCCAACATTAGAATTTTAAAGCTATTTTATGATACTTTCTGGAACTGAAATTTAGGAGTTTTTATTTTTATAAGGGACTCGGTGATCTGAGCTATTTTGTGTCAAAATCATTCTGTTTTGTTTTGTTTTTTGCTATGTTGTTCATGCTGTTCTTGAACTCATTGTGTAGCCCCAGCTGGCCTTGAACTTGTGATCCTTCTGAGCACTGGGATTACATTGATTTCCTATTTTTTTGAACTTGATTTCACTTTTGATATTATTTAATAGCGAATAGTAAGAAAATCAGAGTTATTTTCCACCTACGGTGTGGTTGGGTGTTCTTTGAAAACTAATATTTAAAAGGTCTTCAGGGAGAAACTGGTCAGTTGAATGATTTGTCAGAACTATTTGAAACTTGCATGAGAGTAAAATAGTGTATATAGACAGTAGGAGCCCACTTAACCTATTTATTTACTACTATATGCTTTAAAAACTCCGGAAGAATACTTGACCATGGAAGTAGTCATCTCCAAGGGTAGGATTCTGGGGGAATTCTGGTTTACCATAATGAGTTACAGTGAATGTATTTTTATTACTGGGAAGAGATGAAAGTTAATGTTAAAATAAATGACTTAAAAGGGTAGAGATGTAGCTCAATGGTAGATCACTTGCCTGGCATGTATGAGGCCCTGGGCTCAGTCCCTAGTAAGCAAAGTGGAGGGTAAGGGCAGGGAGAGGGAGAAGGTCCAGGACCAAGCCAGCCATTTTCGAGCTCTACAAATTATTCAACCCTGGATCCCACTAGGAGACCATCTAGAGCAGTGGTGGCAAACCTACGGCACATGTGCCACAGCCAGCTGTTTTCATCACTGAAAGCTCTTGAAAGGCTCACCATCACTGACATTGTCGCAAGGGGTAGGCCATGAAGCAGCCTCTGAAGAAACTTGCTTCAAGTCTTAGATAACCTATAGTGCATAAACTGCCTGGGATATTAGAGGTTCTGTTGTCTAGGAAGGAAACATCAGCTCTAGTTCCCTCCAGGTCCTACCTCACTTTTAAGGGCAACCAGGATTGCTTGCTGTTACCCCCATCCCTATTTATATCAAGCACTCTGGGACTTCTGTCTTTGCTCCAAGTTATCTATACCATCTGCTTGGACTGTACTTTTCCCCAGGCCATCTGGCAAATTTCTTCTCATCTAAGGCCCAGTTTATGTCCAACACCACCACCCCTCAGCTCATGTAGCACATGTAAACTATGTTATAGAATTGATCTTGACATCTTACAGTTATTTATGCACAGGCTTCTCAAAGGCCTTCTCTTGTTCCTGTATACTGTGGCATTGGCACAGGGCTCAGGGAAAAGAAGGCACTTAAGGTGTGTGCTGTACTGAATGACCAGAAATATGCAGTCAAGAATTTTAGAGCTAGGTGTGGTGGCATATGCCTGTAATCCCAGCACTTGGGAGGCTGAGGCAGGAGGATTGCTGTGAGTTCTAGGCCAGCCTGGGCTATATAGTGAGACCCTGTCTCAAAAATTTTTTTAGAAATAGTCAGTAGATTTAATGAGATGATTGTATTCTGTTGTCATTAACTGTGGTGTCTTTGGTTCTAGGTATCTGTAATTAACACTGTGGACACCTCTCATGAGGACATGATTGTAAGTATTCACTTATGCCTCCTTCCTGGGCTTTGGACATGGGCATTTCTGTGGGAATGAAGCAGTTTGGGCTTCTCATTACCATTTTTTGCTGGTTGTTCATGAATCTGGGGGTGGCAGCAGTGTTTGCCAGTCAGACTGTAACCTTAGGGGTATGACCACCATTCTCCCAGCAGTGTCCTGTGAGTTGGCAAGACTGTGACAGTCTGGTCACTCTGCTGAGGAAAATTTGGAATGGTTTATAATACAGTAACCTGTTCTGGCTGACAGGGTGCAGAAGTTTGACAGTCTTCTTCCTACCTGTCTTCCTCCTCTTGTCATTTCTTAGCCCTTTTGGAAGGGGGTTTAATGAGACCATAAGAGGATGACCCCATAGAAAGCCCAAAAGCAGCCACAGAGAAAGCTCGAGGGAGAGCCAGATAGGACCCCACAGCCAGTGGGCCAGACAAGGCCCCTTGAACCACAAGTCATTTCTCAGGTGTTTCCTGAGAGGCCAGTACAGGGCTCAATGTAGGAAGTTAGGGCCTCCTGGAGCAGGTCCAGGGGTTAAAGTCTCTCTACAGGAAAAACTGGCTGCATACGTGGTGCCACACAGTCAGGGCAGCCTTTGAGCGATACCAGGTCATTTGGCCTACAATGTTTCATCCTAGAGTTCTTGCCCTCATGGCCTGTCCACCAGCAGTTGCCTGTGTGGCTTGGTTTCTGTCTTGAGCATTTTACTTTCCACTGCTTTATTTACCTTGGAGCTGGTGTTTCATCTTGGACAGGAAGGTCCTGTCTAAGACTCTTTAGGCAGTATCTTCCCTTTTGTGAGTCTCGATTTCCTCATGGAAAAAGTAATGTGCCACCTACTTGCATGGGTTGATTTGACAAGCAGATGAGGCAAAATAATAATTAGGAATATTTGCATGCTCACCAAGTTGTCAGACTCCATTCAAAGTACTTTCCATTTAATATCTTATTTAATCTTGAAGCAGATGCAGTCATTAGTCCCACTTAAAGATAGGGAAACTGAAGCTTAAGGAAGATGAGGTACATTTTCAAAGGCTGTACAGCAGATCAACTACTGTGATAGGATTTACACCTCTTGAGTACTCTGCCCTGTTTCCTCCCCCAGTGTGATACAGTATGCAAAAATGCTTGGGAAATCACCTACTCTGCCTGCTTCTAAGAAGGCAGGGCCTGATGCAGTGAGTGGCTGACTTCCAAGGGAGAATCAGAACATTTTCCTTGGGTAGGGAGGTAAGAAAGGAATGTTGAAGCAGATCTGATGAGCACTTCCTTTGAAAGGTGATGTTTGCTCCTTGTGAGCACAGGGATGACAATCATTCCTGAAACTTCTACGATGGAACAGCTAGGAAAGTGGTATCTGTTGTTCTAGGCAGAGACAGAAAGCAGGAGGGGTCAGCTGTTTGGGGGCAGTAGACCTAGTGCTGCAGTGGAACTGTTGCCCGGATGGGCAAGGTACTGTGGGCAGGTGCCAGTCCCTCTGGAATTCAGCCAGCATCAGGGCATTCAGGTCTTGAGTGGTGGGACCAGTGACACCTAAGGCCCTGTTTCCTGTGTTGGTTACTTTTCTCTTGTTGCTGAAATAAAATACCTGACACCCAAAGTTAAATAGGAAGGGGTTCTTTGGCTCACAGTTCATAGAAGTTTCAGTCCATAGCGGTCTGGCTCCAAGACCAGATGGTAAACAGGTCCCACAGAGGGGAAATAACATGTAGCAAAGGAAACAAGTGTTTACCAGTACCTTTCTGCCCTTTTTCTCTTATTCAGACTCCTAGGACTAGGGTGGTGCCACATCAGTCACTTACCTAACCCCAGCATCACATATTACACATTCAACTACTTCTGAAAAAGAAAGTCCCACCTCGAGGCTTTGGGTGACATCTAGACACAGAACATAATGTTTCCCTTGGGTGAGGAGTCTGGCGTGCTGGGCACTTTACTGGGTTCCAACAGTAACCTAGGAACAAAGGATTAGGACAGGAGGAAGGAACCCAGACACCTGAATGGGTCCAGCTAGAGGTGTGTCACAGAGTACTTGATGGGGCCTGCAGGCAATCAGAGGCCTGTACTCTAGCATTAGCTTTGGGTTTAGGGCTGAGCCGAACCTCATGATATTTTCCCCTGTAGCCCATAGAGCCTCAGGGTGGGGCCTCAGGCCCAGGGAAAGGGGCAGCTAAGCCAACCTTTTCTCTAGACCCACCAGACAAAACAAAATGAGAATGGACATTCGTTGGAGCATACAAAGGGTCTGTAAAGCCAGCTGGGTATGGTTTAGCTTGTCCCTGTCAGGATGACATCACCTAGCAAAGACGTGAGACTTCACCATGCTAGCTTCTTGTCTCTTGGTAATGGTTCTTTGAGATCAGATCATTCCAGGTGGGTGCTGGTCCAAACTAGACTCTGGCAACTTGCCCTCGCCTACCCTGCTGCCCGGTCTTCAAGCTTCCTGAGCTATCCTCCCTTTGCAGCATGATGCCCAGATGGATTATTATGGTACCCGCCTGGCCACCTGCTCCTCAGACAGGTCCGTCAAAATCTTCGATGTGCGCAATGGAGGGCAGATCCTCATTGCTGACCTGAGGGGGTAAGTGTCAGTACTTAGAGGGAGGCTTAGGGGATGGAGGTGACCCTCTGTTGATGCAAATTTCATGCTGATGAGGGTGGAAGGGAGAGCATGCCCACCTTGGTAGGTGAGATGAGTTGAGCTGATAAGGGATTCATAGTACCCCAGATACAACTTTTCTTTTATTTATTTATTTATTTGTATTACTACTGGGTTCTCAAGGAACCAGGATGCCTTCAGCTGATGTTCTCTTGCCTTTGAGAGCCATAGCATTACAGACCATTAAGGCCTCAGCTGTGACTGGGGGCAAAACGGAAAGGTGACATTGGGCCTTGGACAGCAGCTATTGTCATACTTTGAAATATAAAACAATTTTTTCCCAAAGTTTATGTAGAAATGTTCTTGACAAGAAGGTACTTGGCTAGGGATTTAGCTCAGTGGTGCCTCACCTGCCTGTCAAGTGCAAGGTCCTGAGTTTGATCCCCAGTACCAAAAAAAAAAAAAAAGGTGCTCAGTGTGTGTTCAGCTGCATTAAAGAACGGATACAGAGACAATGTCCATGTGGGGCAGTGGGCATCAAGGTCCCTTCTGAGTACCAAGGATCAAATGACGGAAGAACCAAGCACTTGTGTCTTCTTTTGAGAGCCCCAGCTGAACAGAGCCCTGGGTGGTGTAGCACTGCCAGCACTGGCACAGCTGTCTGTCTTAGATACTTTCTTATTGCTGACACCCAAAGTTAAAGGGAAAAAGTTTATTTTGGCTCACAGTTTGTAGAGATTTCAGTCCACAGTTAGCTGGCTTCAAGGTAGGGTAACATGGCAGAGGAGAAACAATCCATGGAAGAGTAGGGAGGAAAAATCAAAGCAGTTAGCCTGCTTTTTTCTTTTTATCCCATCCAGGCTAAAAACCTGTTGGTTGGTCCCTCACACCCAGGGTGGGCCTTCTATTATCCATGCCTAGAGCTACACTAAACCAGTCAATGGACTGATCTAATCTTCACATATCCTTAATCAATATTCACACACCCTGGATCCAGGGACCTCTGAAAGCCCTACCTATGAGTGTGTGGGGCTTTGGGGAGACATCTAGATACAAGCCATAACACTGATCCTCTGCTGTTTTTCTTTTGTTGTTGTTGTTGTTGTTTTGAGACAGGGTCTCATTATGTAGTTGAGACTGACCTGGAACTCACTATGTAGCCCAGGATGGTCTCGAATTCACAACGATCTTCCTGCCTCAGCCTTCTGAGTGCTGGGATTACAGGTGTGTGCCACCACGCCCAGCTGCTCTGTTTTTCTAGTTCTCAAAAGATGTGAAATACTGCAGGGATTAAAAAAAATCGCACCGTTTCTCCCCACCCCACCTCAGTTTTAACTATAGTGGTGTTGAGACTGAGTCTGCTCCATTTCATCAACAGCTCCTTCTTTGTAGGCATGGATTTGATACTGTTGTCCACCCAGAGGGAAGTGGCTGGAGCCCTAGAGCCACAGAGTAAGCAAGGGGCAGTGATGATAACTAACAGATTGAGCAGGTTTTTCCTTCTTGTACCAAGCATTTTTCTAAGCTTTATACACGAGCTGCCACATTTACCCCCATGACTGTGCAGTGAAAGAAGTCTTAATGACTTCTCCACTTGCACCTGAAGAGACAGCCATAGAGAAGATATTACCCTGGCGTAAAGCCAAGAGCTCCTGACTGGGAAAGTGGGGTGAAAGGGCCTGTGTCTACCACCACTGTGCCACACTGCCTCTTGTCGGAGATGATGCCTTAGAAGGCCTGGCAGATGTGTGTGCAGATGATACCTGTCAGCAGGTGCATGAGTAGACAGCAGAAGAGAAGACTTGTCATTTGAACAGAGGAGGGGCAGTAGGAACAGACATTACCTACTCATGAAGTTGGCCCTATGGAAGGGTGGCTTGTGACTCAGTCTGCAGATGTTCACTGAGTTTGAGCAGCTGTAACCCTAACCCAGTGAGTGACTGTTGAGAAGAGCAGACACAGGCAGTGCTGGCTGCAGTCTGGGCAGGTGAGCTTCTAGCTGAGTGGCCCGGGGACTTTAGAGTTCTGCCTCTTAGAAAGGCTCTGTGACCTCTTAGCCTCTTGGGGCCTCAGAGTCCTTGCTGGCCAATTGGTGTCCCTTTCACAGTGAATTTCTCTTTTGAAATTCTTAGGCAAGACTATATTTCCCCCTGCCAAGAAAGCCATTCAGTCCTGTCCAGAACAGTGTCAGGTAGAGGACTATGTGTTCCTGTGGCCCCTAAACAGACTTTGTCTCCCCTTGTAGTCATGAGGGTCCCGTGTGGCAGGTGGCCTGGGCCCACCCCATGTATGGCAATATCCTGGCATCCTGCTCCTATGACCGGAAAGTCATCATCTGGAAAGAGGAGAATGGCACCTGGGAGAAGACTCATGAGCACTCGGGACATGACTCCTCAGGTACACCGAGCTGCTGGGCAGGCCTCTATCCTACCTTGCCCTGCTTCCCTTCCCTCTGTCCTGGACTGTGGTTGGCTTTCCTGCTAATCTTCATAGCTGAGGTGTGGCCTGAGAACTAAAGAGTAGTGCTACATGGAGAGTTTTATAGGTTTGTTCATTTTAAGTACCAGCCTTTATTCTCAGGTTGCTATCCTTCCTCATTTTTTTTGCTTTTTTGTTTTTTGAGGGTGTTTTTTGGGACCAGGGATCAAACTCGGGTCCTTGTGCCTACAAAGCAAGTGACAGAACCACTGAGCTAAATCCCTGGCCCTCATTTTGTTAGTAGAGTTTATGAAATGATACTTGTGTGCAATAAGATTTGTTTGTTTATTTGCTTTACCGGTTTTGAATTGAGGACCTCAGGACCTTGCGTTTGCAAAGCAGGTGTGGCACCACTGGCTAAATCCCCAGCCCAGTAGGGCTTTTTATAATGTCTTTAACTGAAAAAATTACAGCTGACCCTAGTAGTCCCTGCTAAGTCCTTTTAGGAACTTAGCAAAGCAATCTGTCTGCAGCTCTGGCCCTGTGTTTCTTATGCTCCCTGCTCACTGTGTGCCTCCTACATCCTGCAGTGAACTCTGTGTGCTGGGCTCCCCATGACTATGGCCTGATCCTGGCCTGTGGGAGCTCGGATGGGGCCATCTCCCTGCTGACCTACACAGGCGAAGGCCAGTGGGACATGAAGAAGATCAGCAATGCTCACACTGTAAGTCCAGCCTTGCCTTTCTGCAGAGGGCAGCCCTGTCTGCTAGTAGTGAGAGGTGGGGCAGGGTGGAGTCCCTAAAGGGCGTTGGGCCGGGAGGACTGCTGAGCAGATGGCCATATGGCTATACTGGCCCCTTTCAGACCAGAGCAAGGGCTGGCTGTGCAGAGGGACATCAGCAGCCTTCCCAGGACAGTACCCCTCCACTGTGGGTACCTCAGGGTGACATGCCCCGCAGTAGTCACTGGTGCCCCTGGAACCGAGTGGCACTATGGGGCACATCATAGACATTTAGTCCTCTCTGCTCCTTAAAACTGAAACAGTCCAGAAAACCTTGTGGGCAGTGGGGGGAAAACTCACATTTCTTGAGCCCCTACTGTGTGTCTTATAATTCTCACAAACATTCATGAATGAAAGAGGAACCAGTAAATTACAGGTTTTCAAGGCTCACCCTGCCATAGCATGTATCAGTACTCATTCATTATTATGGCTGGGTAATACTGCGTTTTGAATGTATGCGTCAGGTTTGTTTGTCTGTCAGGCAGCAAACATTTTTAGTAGTTGTGAGCAACCATGCTATGAGCATGAGCATGAATCAAGTGGTAATTCTATGTCTCAACTTTCGGAGGAGGTACTAAACAGTTTTGCAAAGTCTTCATTTTACCCATCCCCCCAGCAACATCTGAGGTTCTAATTTCTCTACATCCTTGCCAATACCCGTCTCTTTTATTAGAGCTGTCCTGCTGGGTGTGGAGTGGTAGCTCATTGTGCTTTTTTTTCTTGGTACTGGGGATCAAACTCGGGCCCTTGCGCTTGTAAGGCAGGCAGCAGAACCACTGAGCCAAAACCTCTGGCCCTCTTACTGTGCTTTTTAATTCTGCTAATCAAAGATAATGCTGGGCATCTCTTCACATGCTTTTGGCCATTTGTGTGTGTGTGGTGCTGGGGATCGAACTCGGGACCTTGTCCTTCCAAAGGCAGGCAGTAGAACCACTCAGCTAAATCCCTGGCCCGCCGTTTGAATATCTTTAGAGAAATGGGAGTGATTCTGTTCTCTCTTATATCAGGTGAGGGCAAGAGGTCATGGTGATAAAGCCTGAAGAAATGTGATGATACCCAGGGCTTGCTTCTTGGATAGAGCTCTTCACAAGGACAGATTGTTGGGGGTGAAATCAACATGGAGCCTGCTAGGGACATAGGGGTGGGAAAGAAAGTTAGGCACAGGGAGGGGTGCAGAGCCAGGAGCTTCTGAGCACAAACTGCCATTTTATGGAACAAGAGTTCTGAATTCAGAATGGCTTGCCTTCCCTTACTTGATCAGGAAAACTACTCCCACATAATCTTGCCTAAAATAGAAAAGTAGGTCAGGGATGTAGCTCAATGGTAGAACACTTGCCTGATAAGCTCAAGACCCTGGGTTCCAGCTTTGGCACAAGAAAAAACAAAAAATGAATCACATGTATAAAATACTCAAGGAAAGAAAGCACAAACCAGGGACTTACAGCCAGGAAAAATAACTTCAAGTTTACACACAGACTGACACACATAAGTTCATGTGGCTTCAATCGCCAAAACTAGAAATAATCCACATAATCCAAATGTCCATCAGCAAGCAGACAGGCGAAGAAATGGCAGTGTGTCCGTGCTCGAGAAATGCTGCTCAGCAACAAAGAGAAACAGTTGTTGATGCACATGAGATGGTTATATTTTAAAATATTTATGCTGAGTGAACAGAGACCAAAAAAGGGACATTCTGTGGATTCTCTTGGCCTAGAATTCTAGAAAATGCAAACTAATCAATACTAAGTAGGTCTGTGGTTGTCCACCTTGGAGGCTATAGGATAAAAAGACTGAGTTCAGTGGGAGAGGAGGAGACCTTTGGGGTATTGCAAATGTTCCTTATCTTGCCAGGCGTCATGGCGCACGCCTGTAATCCCAGCACTCGCGAGGCTGAGGCAGGAGGATCGCTGTGAGTTTGAGACCAGCCTGGGCTACATAGTGAGTTCCAGGTCAGTCTCAACTATGTAGTGAGACCCTGTCTCAAAACACCCCCCAAAAAAATTTTTTTAAAAATGTTCATTATCTTGATTGGGTAATGGTTTTACAAGGATGTCTATGTCATATTTCATCAAACCTTGCACTTTATGTGCAGTTGGTTATGCTATATCAAGGCTGTGGTAGTTAATCTGGATCATCATTTTGACGGATTAGGAGACTTCTGCAAGGTGGCTTGGTGGTAAGAGCACTAACCTCATCAATTCATCAGCTGAATGGGCTTCTGGGAGGGGGGACTTGGTGGGAGGAAGTGGCTCATAAGGGTGCAACCTCTGTCTGTATCTGGTCCCTTCCTCTCCAGCACTTAGGCCTTACACTTTGCTTTGTGGCCACTATGACATGAGCTGCTTTGCCCCACCAAGCCTTTCCATACTGGTATTCCTGCCTTGGAGCCAGCTTTCCATGGACTGAACCCTCTCAAACTGGGAGCTAATTAAACCTTTCTCCCTCACAGTGTGAGTGTCATGGATTTTTTCCCAGTGATGAAAAGCTGCCCAACACAAAAGCCAGTTTCAAAATGTATTTCAGAGCATAAAAAACATGAATTACTATCAGTATGCAAGAACTCAGGAACTGTTGTTTGCATCCTGAAGTATCTACTGGAGAAGAAGCTTCAGATGACAGAAATGACAGGACAGACAACATAATGCAGTTACTTTTGAAGGGCCAAGACTGAGTCATGAGGCGGAGGTTAGCAGGACAGCCACCAGCTCTTCAAAGGTACATCTAGTGCAGCTATTAAAAACAGGCGCGTACAGGGCCAGGGATTTAGCTCTGTGGTGCTGCCCCTGCCTTGCAATTGCAGACCCAAGTTTGATCCCTGGCAACCCCCTCCCCCCAGAAAATCAAAAAACAGGTGCCCTACATAGGTTTGAGTACAGAAACTAGCAAAGTAATGGAAAACATAGTAATGGAAAAAACAGGTACAAAACTTCTTTAAATGCTTTTAGTAATCATTTGGCAGTAGTATTTTGTATGAAATGAATTAAAGCACATATAATTCCGAGGCATTGAGCATCCCCCAGACCCAGATTATAATCCTGAAATACAGTTTCTCTCACTAAAACCAGAGAGTTGGTAATTTCAGGTCTCAGGCAGGAGATATACAAGATGAGCTGGGGACATCTCATAAACAGAGGAAAGAAATGTCACAGTTGTACTTTGCCACACTGGGTTATGTCAGAAGGACCAACAGTTTGAAGGATCTTATACCACCAGGGTGGGACGCTTAAGTGTGAAAATGAGATTCAACGCAATGAACTGAAACTGAAACCCATCAAATAAGCATAATTACTGCTGGGTTCACATTTTAAAGAGAAAGAGAAGGTGGACAGGTGGGATGCTCCTGCAGGCCCAGTGAGTTTCTCAGGTGGCTGAGGCAGGAGGGTCACTTGAGCCTTAGAGTTTGAAGCCAGCCTGGGTGTAGGGAGACCTCACAGAGGGCAAATGAGTCACCCTTAGTGAATGACGGGAACCAGTTCAAAAAGAAGCATTTATCTGGACTTTGTTCTCTGACCTTTCCTGTCAGTAACCAAACAGCTAAAGAGAGGAATTGATCCTAGCCGGAATATTCTGTTACAAATGACAGAGTTGACAGAATGTGTTACCGTTTTGCAACTCTGGGTGAATTAAGAGGCCTCAGCTGTTGACGGTTGATAAAATACAGTCTGGTGGTGTGAGAACTACCACCACCTGAGGACCTGCTCAAGGGACCGTGCCTGAATCTGTGTCTGGACTCCAGCTGGCCATTCTCAAGACCCCAGAGGAGCTTAGAGAACTGAGTGCACCGGCAGAGTACAGATGAGACCATGGTCAGAGCGCTAGCTCCTTACCGGGGTAACTGTAAGGCGGAAATCAGAGGAAGAGCTACAAACCAGAGATGGGCAAGTCCCCCAGTTTTTTTTTAATATATTCTTTATACTTGGGATTGAACCCAGAGCCTTTGCACCAAGCTGAATCCTCGGTCCTTTTTTATGTTTATTTATATATTTTCCAGTACCAGGGATGTAACTCAGGACCTTGCCCTTGCCAGGCAGGTGCGGCACTGCTGAGCTACAACCCTGGCTAGTCCTTTTTTATTTTTATTTCAAGCTAGGGTCTCACTTGAGTTGCCCAGGCTGGGCTCAAACTTGACAATTCTTCTGCCGCAGCCTGCCGAGTGCTGGAATTACAGGCGTGTGTCATACTGTAGTATCCAGGGATGCATGTTTGAGGGACAAAGCATGGCAGAGAGGGAAGAGATGAGTCTGAGAAATGGGAAAAGAGAGGGGCTATTAGGATGGGGCCTAATTCGAGGTCTTCTCGGGAGGGGGCATCACTTGGCCTGGTGGTGGTTGCAGGAGTGTTTGGAGTGATTCCTTAAGCTGTATTTTTATTTTATGTGGTTTTCTAATGATTTTTTAAAAATTTTTTCTTTAGGCCTGAGTGTGCCCTCCTTTCATGTATTTAAAAAGTGACGCTTGCGTTCCCGATTGCTGCTTTTACAGTATACCTTGCAGAGTTAGGCCTCATGAGTCGAAGTTGTGAGTGGCTAGAGAGAAATGACCAGCAGCCCTGAGTCTGCAGAGGAGAGGGCTGTGTCACGACACATCCCCTCTTTGCAGATCGGCTGCAATGCCGTCAGCTGGGCCCCTGCTGTTGTACCCGGAAGCCTCATAGATCAGCCATCAGGGCAGAAACCCAACTACATAAAGAAGTTTGCTTCTGGTGGCTGTGACAACCTCATCAAGTTGTGGAAGTAAGTGAGCTGCATAGACTCTTCAAAGGACCCCGTCTGCTCCCTGCCCTCTGCCTGCCCACCACAGCTCAGCCATGGCTGACAACAGCAAGGTCACCATCTTTCCCTTTGCCAGTAAAACACTATTTATAACTTGTAAGGTTACCCTTTAAAACAACAAAAAGCCTGGCCTTCTTGTCAAGCACTTGTATTGTTCACCTGATTCCCAGCCATTGAAACCAGTGAGGAAAAGCCTTTTCCTGTGGGTCTCCACAGCTGGGTGTACTTTGAGAAATAGGAAGGTGGAACTTCCACCCCAGTGTAGCCTGTGCATGGGTTGGGAGGCAGTGTGGGCGCCTGTACTGCCCTCTGGTCTCCCCCAGGGAGGACGAAGACGGCCAGTGGAAGGAGGACCAGAAGCTGGAGGCACACAGCGACTGGGTTCGAGACGTGGCCTGGGCTCCATCCATTGGCCTGCCCACCAGCACCATTGCTAGCTGCTCCCAGGTCAGCACAGCCCTCTGCACACATGCATGGATCCTGTAGTTATTTGAGTCCCATCGGCCCTTCCAGAGGCTCAGTGGGACAATCCTGGGGAGGGGAGGGAGAGCAGCAGGCATGGGGGACTTGCATGCCCACAGTGAGATCACCGGGGCAGGTCCTTGTGCAGTGAGAGCTTAACAGAAGCCACAGTGGCTTCCTCGCTGGGAAAAAATGGATTGCAGTAGAACTGTCCCCAAGTGGGGCCAGACTTGAGTTTGTGCCCCTGCCTGAACTTGGTGTAGGTAGGGAATGTACTCAGCCACCCTTCCCAGACAGACTATGCAGGTGACCTTCAGACCAGGCATTGTATTATATGGTACCACCAAGTGGCCTTATTAGAATCTCTTTGATTTGGTTCCAAATTTTTGTGATGTTTCTTTTTTATCTTGTCCCTCTTGTTTTCTGAGCTTGGCTTTTAGAAAGCTCTACTAGTCAGATGAGAAGGTAGACTGGAGAGAAATGACCGAGCAGGCAAGAGCAGAACCCAAAGAAAATGAAGTTAGCAATGCTAAGTCCATAGTTGAGACCAACAGGAGCAGAGGTGACAGGGACTGAAGTGAGGCTTCTGGACCAGGCACTGGCATCACCTAAGAGCTGCTGGTGGCCTTGGCCTGGACTCCCCCACCCCATTCCTGCTGACGATCCAGCATGGCCCCAGAGGGCAGGGTTCCTGCCCCATCCTGACGCTAGCCTGTCTTCCAGGATGGCCGCGTGTTCATCTGGACGTGTGAAGATATTTTGGGCAACACTTGGTCACCTAAGTTGCTGCACAAGTTCAATGATGTCGTGTGGCACGTGAGCTGGTCCATCACCGCCAACATCCTTGCCGTCTCAGGTGGAGACAACAAGGTATAGCCGGTCTCCAGGACCCAGTGCAAGCCCTTTCAGTTGCCATGCAAGCCAAGCCGAGTCAGATAACAGTTTTTCCTAAACTAAAACCTCAGTACTCAGGTTTAATTACAGTGTTGGCACTTTGCGATAAGTAAGTGGGTCTTGGGTTGCAGTTTGGGCACTCAGTCTCTAAAAGGTTCACCGTCACTGGTCTAGTGGCCAGGCCTGTTGGTCTTCCTGCCCACCAGGCCTTCTGAGGACCATCTGGAGCATGTCTCCACATTATACTGTGAAACTGAAACACTGAGGCACACAAGAAGAAGCTGACAGGGCTGGTATGGCCTCACACCCCTGCTCTGGGAGCCAGCTGCCCTAGCCATTTGGCTACCTGTTCTCCATGGGGATGCTCAATTAGTTCTGCAAAAAAAAAGCAAATACACGGTTTAAGAAAACCTGAGAACATTGAGGGTTTTGTCCAAAACACTTTTAAGGGGCACATTTATAAATAATCGTATAATCCCAGCACCCAGGAGGCTGAGGCAGGGGGATCACTGCGTGTTTGAGGCCAGCGTGGCAACACCAGGTCTCAAAAACAATCAGTACAATACACCAGGATTTCTTGAGCACCTATTTCATATCTACCACTAACTTGTGTTGTGAGGTACGTAGTAAGCATAAGATGGAATTGTAGCAAGCCGTGATGCAGGGCGGGGCAGGAATGGTGCAGGCTGGAGGTCCCCAGGCACCTAAGGAAGCACCAGGACCTCCTGTGGCCAGAGAGTCTTTGCCTGGGCTGTAGGCAGTGGCTTGCTACTTTTTCCCTTCTGCAGACAGCTTTTTTTCTTCTTCCCTTTTATTTTGTTTTGTTTGCAATACTAGGCATGGAATCCAGGCCTTCACACTAAGCTACATCTCCAGGCCTTTTTCTACTTTTTGTTTTTTGAGACAGGGTCTCATTGGACCTCTCAGTTGCCCAGACTGGGCTCTATATTTGGATCTTCCTGTCTCAGCCTCTCAGAGTACAGGATTACTGGTATGTGCCACCACACCCATGTAGCTTTTTAAAAAACTGATAAAAATATATGTGAGATTTATCACTGTGAACACTTTTAAGTATACAGTTCCACAGTTGTGCAGCTGGTATCTAAAACGCTATGTGTGAAACAAACTACCCATGAAGTAACTCTCCCCACACAAATCCCCAGGCTACTTTCTTTCCCAGTGACTCTGAGCAGGGACTTCATATAAGTAGAGGCACCATCCAGAATGTGTTTTGTGATTAGCCCATTTCACGTAGTGTAGTGTCCTCGAGGTTCACACATGTCAAAGTCCCCTTCCCTTCAGAGCTAAGGATCAAGCCCAGGGGCTCCACCACCAAACCTCATCCTCACACCTTTGAGGCAGGGTTTCGTAAGCTGCCGAGGCTGAGCTCAGATTTGTGGTCCTCCTGCCTCAGCTTCCTTCTTGCTGGGATTGTAGGTATGTGCCACCGGCTCTGGCTGTTCTTCCTGTTTAAAGTTGAATAATACACACGTTATCAGTCTACCCCCTGTGACAGATACTTGGGTTGTTTCCACTTACCTGAACCCTGAGTAGTGCTGCTGTGGAGAAGAGTATGCAGTAGCAGTTGTCTCTGTGAGAACTCCTGCGTGTAGCTTCTCCTGGCCTAGGGCCCCATCTGCCGTATGTAAGGTAAGGGAGGCCCCGCCCCGCAAAGGACGGCGGGTTTGAGAGTCACTCCAGAACCGAGGTGGGCCGGCCAAGGCAAGTGGGCCGCCCGTTACTGTCCAGCCGGCCTGTGGCAGTCCTCCCGGGGACCACGGAGCAGGGGGGCGTGAACCTCGGAGCTGTGTCACTGTGCTGCTAGCTCTCTTCCCTTTAGTAAACCTGCTTTTCTATGCGGAGCTCGTCTCTGCTGTGTTTTGCACAGCCCTCTGAAAGGGTAGACTATGTTTTCAGTTCCATTTTCTTACTGAATACACATACATAGCTTTGGGTAGCTTTTATTAGATTATGATTTTTTTTTTTTTTTTTTTTTTTTTTT